CCCAAACCCTAAACCCCTCAACCGTAAACCCTGAACCCTAAATCCCCAAAACCTTAAAACCCTAAACTCTAAACCCTAAACCCTAGAACCCTAGAGCCCTAAACCCTAAACCCTAGAACCCTAAAACCCTAGAACCCTAAACCCTAAACCCTAAAACCCTAAACCCTAAACCCTAAACTCTAGAACCCTAAACCCTAGAACCCTAGCTACTAAGTCTCACATTCAAGGAGGGCTGAGGATCGCGGGTCTGGGTTTTGGGGTCTGGGGTTTTTGGGTTGCATCCTTCTTGCTTCCTTTAGGGTTTAGGGTTTAGGGTTTAGGGTTTAGGGTTTAAGGTTTAGGGTTTAGGGTTTAGGGTTTAGGGACATTTTCGGGTGGGTACTTACCCTTCTAGGAGCCTTGTAGAAGGTCGATATACCTTCTAGAAGCCTTATAGAAGCCCTATATACCCTAAACTCTCCACCTGGAGTTTCCTGGAATTAAGAGCGCTCGCTGCAAAAAGTAGTCCCCGGAACTTCGCTACGATCAAGGGGCAGCAGTTCCAAAGTCCATTGAAGAACCAACCCGGGAAAAAACCCAACAGCCTAAAACCTGGAACCCTTGCAGTAAGCCGAAGCCCTAAGCCCTAAACCCTCAACCCCAACAATCAAAGGAGCCTGACGCCCTAAACACCCTAAACCCTAAACAAACTAATCCCTAAACCCCTAGTTGTTTTGGGGGCTCCTGAGTTCATGGTTTAGGGCTCAGGGCTTACAGGGTTTTAGGGTTTATGGGGTTTTAACAAATGCTAGTACAACGCTCTACTCCAATACAAAAAGCTCCGATCATGGAACCCCCATACGATCAGGGTAAGGGGTTCTATGCTATAGGATCTTTGTAGCGACCCTTAGAGATCCATTTATGGAAACCTTTAAGGAATCCTCACAGGAACCCAACAAGAGATTTCCCTTTAAGGGGACTTATGGGGTTCTGTAAGAGGGTTCCCTTTAAGGGAAGCCTACCTAAACCCTTATAGAACCCTGGATAGCAACCCTTAACCCTAAACCCTAATAAAACCCTAAACCCTAAACCCCAATCCTAAAAAGTAAGCCAGTGGTCCCTTAAAGGAACCCTAAACCCTACTTATAGAACCCTTGTAAAGGAATTAAAGGAACCCTAAACCCCTATGGAACCCTCTTAAAGGAACCCCAAAAAAGCCGCCAGTGGTCCCTTTAACGGAACCCTAAACCCCGATAAAACCTTTTTATAAAGGAACCCCCAAAACGAAGCCAGTGGTCCCTTTAAAGGAACCCTAAACACTTACAGAACTCTTTTAAAGGAACCCTAAACCCTTATGGAACCCTTTTGAAGGAACCCCAAAAAAGTCGCCAGTGGTCCCTTTAAAAGGAACCCTGAACCCTTACAAAACCTTTTTAAAAAGGAACCACCAAAACGAAGCCAGTGGTCCGGTCCCTTTGAAGGAACCCTAAACCCTTATAGAACCCTTTTGAAAAGGAAACCAGTGGTCCCTTTAAAGGAACCCTAAACCCTTAACAAAAAACCGTTCAAAAAGGAAGCCAGTGGGGTTCTTTAAGGTACAGGGGCCTCCCGGCTCGTCTGCCAGTGCTTGGGCGTAGCGCTCGAGGGCCGTCATGTCTGCTCTGACCCCGGCGCCACACCTGGGCTCAACTAAGGGGTTTAGTGGTTTATTAGGGTTTAGGGTTTAGGGTTTAGGGTTTAGGGGTTTAGGGTTTAGGGGTTTAGGGGGTTCAGGGTTTTGGGTTGTAAGGGTTTAAAGGGTTTAGGGCACCTCATAATATAGTATAGAGGCCCACATGTTTAGACTTTATGTAGTATATGCTTAAGCCTCAAACTACCTACGCATGAAGCCCGTTAAGGCGTAAGTACGTAGTATTTGCGCACTTGGAGCACAGGGGGAATGTGCCTCTTTCTTGGGGTAAGATCCTAAATTCAACGGCAATGGCTTACCTTAGGCAAAAGAACATACCCTAAACCCTATGTCAGAACAACTAAGAGAAACCTCCTTAAAAGTTCAGGGTTTGCAATGCAGAGGGGACAGGGAGACTTGCAATGGCAGTGCCGCAAAGGTCAGAAAGTAATGCAGGCATATATAGTGCAGCTACTGAAACAGGATCGCTTGGGCTAGTTATAGCCCAGCTTACTTTAGGATGTAGGGCTTTGTGTTTGGGGTTTAAGGTTGAGGCACTTGCTAATCGCGTAGCTCTGTATATAGCTACCCATGAAAAACCCTAAACCCTAAACCCTAAACCCCTAAAGTCTAAATCTTTCACTTGAACAGCGAGGATGGTCCACAACCCTAAACCCCAAAACCCATTCAGGCCTAATGTAGGGAGCATTAATGGTTGGAATAGGGTTATGGAGCCCAGTAACCAATATACTATATTTAATTCGAATAATGAGGAGCCCCAAAATAATATTGGTTAGTATTTAGGCCCCTAAAATTCCCCAAAATCCGGCCTTTTCGGGACTGATGCAGGAACTCATAACGACAAACCTGACAAGATAGGGTCTGAAACCCCCGAGGTAAATAGGGTTTAGGGTTTAGGAGATAGAGCTTCAACCCCTGAGGTAAAGGAAAGGTACCAAAAGCTGTCCAGTCGCAGTGCCATGGCAGCTTGAAAAAGTAATCGAAAGCGCGGAAAGGTGCGAACAATTCCGACCGTCGGCCGTCTCGAAGTTCCTTTTTGGAACTGTCACAAATTTCTGCCTAGGCTGAAGCCGAGATGGCCGTCCAGATATGACACAACAACGACCTGCAAAAGCTCAGATACGTAAAACAAACCTAGGTGTCCATGTACCCAAATAGTATATACTTTGGCGTTATGGTAGTCCCTATATAGGTACTGTGGGCCCAAAGTACATACTGTTTGGGTACATGGACCCTAAGTAGGAAAAGGGACGGAGGGCAGAGGCTTTGAGATTAACGGCGATATGCTTAGGACATGCGCCCGGCCTGCGCAAGCCCCCTCCCAGGACAACAACACACAAACAGACTATCTCGATGTCGATCATGCACCCAGCGGGTCCAAGTACCCCAATAGAAGGGTGTTAAGTCCCCAAATTCCATACTCTGAAAGGTTTTGGGACCTTGAAACCCTGCTATTCGGGCACTTGGACCCTTCGGGGCTGTATTCACGTAAACCCAAGCCTTCCCAACAACAACGCTGGGTGATGATCCTCAGCATAGGGTAAACCCGCGGAAATGTTGCAGAGCACCCCATTGAAACCCTATCCTGATTGTTCTCTCCATAGCAACACCTATTCGGTGGTAGTAACAAATAACTTAACCCTTAACCCCTCTGTAGGAAATTGGAGCCGTGGAGGGACTCAAGAGGTGCGGCGAGAGAGAGAGAGAGAGAGAGAGATATATATATATATATATATATATGGAATATGTAGTATGTACTTAGGCCTTAAAGGGTTCCTATATAAGTAATCTAAGGCTTAGGTTTATGTTGGATGGGTACATAGAGCCTTAGGCCTAGTGGTGTCTCTTTTGAGGTGACACAGGTGGCCGTAGCTGTAGGCTCATACCCTACCCCATTTTGGGGGGTATCTACTTTTCTATATAACAGATCCTAACTTTCTAGGTACCCTACAAAGCGGGTGGGGTATAAGCCTCTAGGTATCATCAACCCTAAAACCTGAAACCCCTCAAGATCTCAACCCAAAGTTCAAACCCTGCACCGTTATCAGCCCCCTACCCCTACCCAAAACTTGAATCCTAAACCCTAAACCCGTAAACCCTAAATACAAAACCCTATGTAAGCCCAAAGCCCTAAACCCTAAATCCTAAACTTAACCGTGGACCGCGGGAACCCTGAACCTTGTAATCAAAGATGGCGCTTGCTGTACCCTATGCTACTAACGGGTACTTTGTAGGAACCCCGGTATGTCATCTACTTTCTAGATCCTCCCGGCCGGTTGGGATTTGGGGTTTAGGGCTTCCCTTTTAGCTTCCGGTTAGGGTTTAGGGTTTCCCTCTATTTCATCAAGAATCAGAGTCGCATGCAGGGTTTCAGGGTTTAGGGTTGGATAGAAACAGGATCGCAGGGGGCTTAGGAACTTTTTCAACCGCATACCATTCTATGGTCTTTCGGTACCCCTTCATTGCCCAAGGATCCGGAGTTTTCAGAATTAGGGTTTAGTTTTTAGGGTTTAGGGTTTAGGGTTTAGGGTATAGGGCAAAGAGCGCATGCCTGTTAAACTCTGTAGCCCTCCTCCCCTACCAGCAGTACAGCCCGACTAACAGGGTGAACCTGAATGCGGTTTAGGGTTTCATTAGGGCGTGGGGTTTAGAGTTTTTACGGTCACTGAAAACTTAAACCCCTAAACCCTAAACCCTAAACCCCTAAACCCCTAAACCCCTAAACCCTTAAGCCCTAAACCCTATACCGACAAGCCCACAAGCTCCCGAACCCTCAAGCAAAACCCGCCCTCCACGGCCTCAATCCTACAACTGAAACTCAAATACAATTCAACCGCAAACCCGGAACGGTTTATGGTTTAGGGTTTAGGGTTTAGGGTTTAGGGTTTAGGGTTTAGGGTTTAGGGCAAGACCCTGGAAGCCCCAAACAGAATCAGGGTAGTTCTCTACAAGAGGGCCCCTTTGTATTTAGGGTCCTTTGAAATAAGGGTGCCGTACTATTTGGTGGACCGGAAAAGGGACCCTTATTTAGAGAACTACTCAGCAGGGGACCTACTTACAACTATATAAAACCACCGGGCTGAAACTACAGAAACATGGGTCATGACACCCCCAATTCTGATTTATCGGGTCTAGGGTTTTAAGGTTTAGGGCTTCGGGATTTCTATACCCTCTTTCTAACCTTGGTAGCCTAAACCCTGAGCCCTCAATTCCAGAAACCC